CAAACCTAAGGTAACACATCTAAAACTTAAAAATTATATGTAAGTAATTAAAAAAACATTGTTCTAAATATTTGCAACTGTGTGGTAAATCCTAGAGCATGGAGTCACACACAAGGGGGTCTCGCAATCTGCACAGTTAATATTTTGTTTCTCTTCTAATCTTCTTTCCGCGTTCATCTCGACCCTGCTGCAAATTCCACATTGCCTGGTTGGATTTGTCTTTTTCTCAGTAGCTGGAATAAGATCTGGAAAATGTCGTCCTGTCAGACGAAGCGGAGTGAGCTTGGTTGAAGGTCGTCCTATTCTTGGAGTAAACTCAGTTTGATGATATTTTTCCATTATTTGCTTTATAAGCTCCAATCGGTATACAAGTGCTGATTTTGTTCCGCCCGTTTTTACATATATTATAAAAGATTTCCATAGGGCTAAATCCAAAATCAGCCAAGTGCTGGTCCACTCGGTCCACTCCACCCATGGTATCGTTATAGTCCACAACCAATAATATATTGGAGTCAGCCAAGTCTACCTTTGTATAATAAAAGACTTTCGTCAATTGCCACATGTTTCTCTGGAGTAACTGTCGCTCGAAATTTATTCACTAACTTGTCGTATATCGGCCATATCTTATTTAGCTTTGGGTTTGGGTGGTGCTTAGCGTCAAAGGTCTCGTTATCAGCAAAATGTAGATTTGACCTGATGGCTTCAAATCTTTTATTGCTCAGGCATTTTGCAAAAAAAGGTGTCAGTAATAAAGGACTTTTAGACCAATATTGCCTCATTTCAGGTTTTTTTATAATACTTTGAAGAATTATAAGCCCCAAAAATACTCTCATTTCACCAGCAGTTACTGGGAACCATTTTTTGAATTTCTTTTGATTCGTATAACGATTGGTTTCAGTAACAATGTGATCGATTATCTCAGCATCAAAAAATTGTTCAAAAAATTGCAGTAAATTGTCCTCATCATTCGAGTCAAAATGAACACTAGGTCTGGCAGAAAATGGAAAAGTTGGTTGTTCCGAGGAATCAGGCCCTAACTCGCACCAATTACGCGCAAGCAACACATTTTCAGAGTTACTAGAATCAGAACTCGTCGTTGAAACGTCCAAACCTGTACCTGACCCACTCTCATCGACGACACCTTCGATATCAACCCCATCGAAACTTTCATCACTGTCGCTCTCCATCCTTAAGCGTACAATAAAACAAAACATAAAATGTGCGGCAATCAATCCCCTATTACAACCAAATACTAACTAACTACTAAACAACGCGGCGATGCCGGCGACGCGCGTAACCAGTAACGCTCCACCCCCCCACCCCCCAGTTCGCACCACAAGGTAAACCAGTTCTTTTCCGTCAGTAAAAATGCCTATAAACGATTAAATCGTATTATCTCGGGTAGGCACACAAGATACCTAATAATTTATTTTTGCCCGTCTTAACTCGGGTTGGCGAAAATATGAGAGACGAGCTTACCCGAGATATCTCGGGTAAACACGTTAAGGGTTAACCAGTCTGTTAAGTATCTTATTAGCGTGTATGTCCAGCTTTACATCCACCCTTCAACTGGATAGATACACCCACACACATGCCGGTATGCAATAGGTTTTTCTTTGTTTTTGATTTACTGCCTGGAGGCGACCAAGATATCCAAATAAAGGGAAGAAAGGTTACAGGCGGATGGTTCACCTGAATGGGTTCCCTACTTTTAATTTTATTGATTTCAACAGAGTAATGCCTAGTTTGGCATGTCATAGAGTAATTGAGTTTATACATATTATTATTTTTTCTGTCTAGACGATATATGATAAATAACATTTTCTGGAAAATAGGCTTGTAAAATAGAGTGCTTTAGCGTTCCACCCATTGGCGATAACTAAATAACAAATTTGTATTGTATTTTCTTCTTTTTGGTACTACCCAGTCATGAATCACAAAAATTTAGTTGTTAAATAAAGAGTTCCAGCACGATGTAACTTTAAACTAACAACTTTTTAGGAGAGCATAAATGAAAGGTGGACCTCTGGAGTCGCTATCGAATGATCTTATAATCCTCCATGTTTGTCTAGTCGCAAATGAAACCTCATAAGCTAATAGTGCCTACTGATGACATTCCGGCATTCACGGTGGCTTTTTTAAGCAAATACATAAGTTATTCTTTGCGTGTAGTGGTGTTCAACTTAAGCGACGATGTCTCAAATTCCAAATATGTTGGAATAACAATAGTCGCCTTTACATCATTAGCCGAGCATCGAAATATTAGCACCCCACTTCCTGCTAGTTTCGCAACGCGTAAAACAATCCGGTGTTTTGCGGTCAACTACCTTCAGGTGACCTTCATTCCTGGATGTTTACCTTCCTCCTGACTAGCTGCTATATCACAGACATCACAGTTTAACTGCATGTAGGATTTGGACAATGTAATTTCAGACACCTCGCCAAAAACTGTTTCAACGACGGAGTGACACTACTCTTCTATAGTCCATATCATTTCGCCACTACTTGCTCAATCACCTTAGGCGCTAATGCGACGTTGCAGTTCAGTATTTTGGGAGGCCAGAAGATGAAGGAGCTATGTGCAGCTTCGATTGCAGATTTTTGTACAATGTATTGTAATGAAGAATTTGTTCTATTATTGCTGGGACTGTACAATAAATGTTTTTTTAATTTTAAATTTTTTTATTATCCTGAAATTCATTACTAGGCAAACTGATGAAAGAAATACTTTCTTTATTGAGGATGTGTTATGCATCTAAGATCATCGAACTGCATCAATATCGGGAAGATCATCAGTCAGATTTCGTAATGTAAACAAATGAAATCGCTGGCACATTCTTGAGATATATATAATAGTTATAGTTCCACCAGATTTCAAGCCAAGAAAAGTGGCGCTGCCGTCGAGGTTATAGTCCAAGAAATATCTTCACATCTGCTCAGGAAAATATTCGGATTCGGACTTTTTGCATTTTATTCGAAAAAGCCTCCTAGTAACAAATCTAGATGTTGTCAGGACCTAAATCGCGTCTCTAATTGTTTGTACAACCTTTTCAAATAAATTCAAAAAATTAATGTTTTCGCTTCATCAAAGATAGTATTTGTTTTTTTTGATACTCGGAAACAAAAAGATGTTTGACAATGTTTGTCAAAAGTTGATTTTGTACGAGGGATGTCTTGTAAGTTTTGCACAGAGGTTTTGCATATAGAAACATAGTAGGGGGCGCGGATCGTATGTTAGTACTGACTTAACCTCACTCTTTAGTAAACTTAAATTCAATGTTTCACAACAATACGTGCAGTGTTCTCACTACAGTGAATTTTTAAGTGTCACCAAGTCATTAGAAAAATGGAACTCAACCGAGAACATTTTCGCGCCATAATTTATTACAACTTTCAGAGACAATTATCGCAACAAGAATGTCTTGCTTCTTGCCGAGTTACTGTGCTGCTGGCTGCTGCTGAATGTTACGACAGCGTTGTCAAGATTACCTTCGAGGTAGATGTTATGGGGAGGAATTTTAATAACATATGTATATGGTATTAGATGAATATTCCAGTTTTTTAAAAAATATAAAATTAACCGACTGTAGACGATTTTAACGAATTTATATGCTTGTTTTAATCATACATTTTCAAATTACCGATTATGGATTACCTTACCGACTCTATGACCAATATTGTTAACTGATTTTAGTCGAAGTGTTAAGTGCGTGACCTATTTTATAGTGCAATACATGAGTGACTTTTGTTTTACCAATATAATCAATGGACTGCAAATTTTAAAAAACGCGCTATATCCATAATCTCCATACCATGATGAAAGTTTTTGTAATTTGTACAATCCCATGCACAAGCTTGCTTCTGTGGGTTTTCTGTTTATTTACCATTCTAAACTGTGTACGCTTTTATATTCAGTTTACAATATTATCATTATTTTTGGTAAACTTTAGTTTTTGTAATGTATGGTAACTTACAAAAATTGTCAGTTCAACTGAATTTGGTTTTGTGTTGACTTTTGCGGTTCGGAGAGAATACTGATGTTCATCGCTTGAAAAATCTACTTTTAATCTGAAGGCATTGTTAGTATGATTAATTGCCCTATTCTTATTGAAATTGTTTGATCGAACTTGATTGGTCTGACAAAATTGTCTTTGTAAAAATGGTCGTTGTGGAATACTTTGGTGGGGATTCCTATAATTATTCTTCGTCGTATGGCGAGCTAATTGATGCGCATTAAATCTATGATTGATACTAGGTTTATTCCTGTATGGGTTTTACAACATTTGTTAATATATTCAGAGCTTTATTCAAGCCTTGAGGGTTTTTGGTCCTCATAAGTGAACCGAGAGCCTCTTTTAGTCCTTTCAAAAATACTCTTAGGACTACACTTTTACAAAAATTACATATAATTTCTACATATGTACTAGCACAATGCGTAGTGATGAAAGATACCTGTAGGTTCAGCAAACTCTGTACCTTGTTGCAAAATTCAAAAATAGATTCATTAGTCATTTAATTCGCAAATGTCTACGTTTAACCATTGTTAGCCAGTTAATCGTTGATACGAAATCGAAAATGTCCCTTTTTCCGACTGACTTATCCTACTGCCGTCTGCGCCACTTAATAATTTTTCCTTCTGGAAAAGTTTATAAAACATTTTATTTGTACTTTGATAAAGACGTTAGATTATTATTAAGTATGATGAACCATAATAGTATATAGTATGTTCGGCTTCGTACAGTCTGGATAATTTCGTGTTGAAGCAGTGCCAAATAACGCGAGGAAATTATGGTACCTAATACCCCCTCAAACAATAACTTTTTGAGGATACTGTGTACGGTAAACTTAAATGTTTGTTTTCCCTTGAACGAAACCCAAGATTTTCGGGAATATGATGTCCATGGGTAGAAAAACTGGATTCGTCCGAGAACAGTATGTTTCGGAGAAATCGGTCATCATTGTCAATGATTTCTCTCGTGGCATCATAAAACTTCGTTTTGCTGATATGATCAGTTCTCTAACAGAGTGAGCCGAAGAACATGATTTAGGGGAAAGGAAAATTATTTTATTTTCCATAGGTATATAGGACTACCATAGTACATATAGCTTTTACATCTACAGATGCTTTAAGCGTTCTGACCTATTTTAAAATAAGTACAAATTACAATTATGTATTATGTTAATAAATGGTGAACTTGAATAACAGAAAACAACTCATATACAAAGCTCAATTGAATAAAAATACAATAATAACACAATAATCTTTGGTTCACTTCAACTGAGTTCAGGGAATACGGCATCCACAATTACTTCGAACAGTTCCTGAAAAAAAAATAATACAAAACTTAATGTATATGGAAAAATAGTTTATATAGCTTTTCCAGTATTCTGTCTAAACATATATAGTGTCTCTAGACTAAATACAGTTTTGAGGTTAATTAACGTATTCTGTCTGACGATAGCCAACCTAATACTATATTCGCGCGTCCGATAAATTAATAGAGATCTACGAGACGCTAACATTTTCAAAGTAGATTGATTATTGCAGATATGAGGAAGATAGCTGTGATAAATTCTCACAGATGACGCTTCCGTATCTCATTTTATCTCAGAAATTTAGTGGGCGCGGGAATATAGTATTAGGTTGGAAATATTCAGGTAGAATACGGTAATTCAAGTGTTTGATCATTTCGAGCAGTAAATAATCTCTGAGATTAACAGTATACTTACATGGAACAGTTGCTTGTTCATATTCTTCTCTTGTAGAGCATCAAAAACCTTCTTAGCACCAAGTCTAGCAGCGTTATTTCCCACTAAGGTGATCAGCAATTCAGGTACGTTGTTGACAAACATCTCTTGAGCCTTCTGTGCGGTCTGGATTCGTTCCTCCTTATTCCTTATGGGACCTGAGATAAAAATTATGACGTTATTAGCTGATAGCACCAGACTTATATTGCTTCTGGATGAAATTACCGATGTCTCATTTGAAAAAAAGAACTTCGACTAGGCCTGCATAAAACGACGGTATCAGCACTGATTAACGTATTCCTGAAGATAGCCAACCGTATATACCGCGCCCAAAAATGATCTGAAATACATTAGCGACACCTACGGGGTAGTAGCAGGGCAGAAATATTAATTAAGAAATCTAGTTCCAAAACAGTTAGTGTTTGGCTGTGCCATTGTCTCATAGATGACGCTAGGATCTTCAATCCTCTTTTGGTACCTCTCTAATCCCTATTTTAATTATGTAGCTGCAGGCATTGATTAACGTATTCCACCTGAAGATACCCAATTAAAATAGGCTATGGAAAAGTGCCTCAAAAAGGGATAATGAAGATGCAAAAACGGATCTGAAAGATTATAGCGCTATCTATCAGACAGTAGCAGAACTAAACAGGCATTCATATTTTTTTTCTGCTACTGTCTCCCAGAATAATGATGTCGATGTCTAGGCGGAATACAGTATATGGTTGACTATCTTCAGGTAGAATATATTAATTAATGATATTAGCAATAATTGTAACTCGAATTTTTTACGTGGCTATAACTTTGAATGTGTTCTTTGAGAACATTTGGGAATGTGTCCGTTCGCACCGGAAGAAACTGGCAACCGCAATTGGATGGTAATCCAAGCAAATACAAGTGTTTACACCAAAAAGACGGCAGCGCGACTTGTTGCTCAATGGTTTCTGGCACTGCCATTTGCATACGAAATATTAGTTTTCTCAGAGCCGTCGTTGCAGTGACGTATATAGAACATGAGTTCGGGTGGAGCCCATAGAGGTAGGTGCATGTCGGACATTCTCATGATTATAATTTCAAACCGCAACTGATCACAATAACGAAAAAAATTCAATATTCAAACCTTCATTTACCAATTATACATGGTTTCAAGGAATTTTCTTGAGAGTTTTTTTCTAACATTGGAAATATTGATACGATTTCGATTTAGACTCTCAAAGCGCGGGAATAAGCTTTTTCATGCTTGTCTGAGGGAATTTACATAGTTCCGATTTGTAGAGTGATACACCCTTTATGGACCTTTGTCGACTACTCGAATTGACCAGTTTTGAAGAAATAGTACAAAAACCGTTGTTTTGAAACTAGGCCATTCAAAGAATATCGGAGTTGATGAACAAACATGAATCACACTAGAAAAATCTACAGTCTTATTACCTTATTGTTGAAAGGAAAAGTAACGTTGCTATATTTTGTGAACCACCACAAAATCAACATTTATGTATATTAGGGTGTTCCAGCTTATGAGGGCACATACAGATACACATACTCTCTAATTTTGTTCCATTTGACTCTAACAACTCAAAAAATAAATATTGCGATCGAGGAACGATAACCCGTTTGGTTAAACTTTGAATTTGAAAGTTGATATAAGATACAAATAAAGCAGTGTTTTATATGTCGAATAAGAATTAGGTTTTGAAATCCATATCCTATTAACTTTCAAATTCAAAGTTTGACCGTAAGTCGGCGGGTTATCGTTCCCCGATCGCATTATTCATATTTTGAGTTGTTGAGTCAAATGGAAAAAATAGAGAATATGCGTTTGAAAAAAAGAACTTTAATATTTTGGGACACCGTAATGAACATATCTATCCATACTATAAGAAGTGACCATTGAAGCTTCAAAAACAGACCTAAAATGTTTCAGGCTACTATCTAAGAGTTTCAGAACCCATACAAAAATGTTGTCAGCTATTTTTAATTGAAAATCAAGAATTAATGTTTTGGACCTAGAATCCTACATTTCTAGACTGTCCCGTTACGACAAAAACTATGTCACTCATTTCCGTTTGTCTATCTGTCCGCTAATCCTTGACTCCTCTATAACTTGGAAAGTATCTGTCGAATTTTGATGAAATTTTTACACAAGGTAAAACTAGCTACTGTTTACTTAATGTGCTTTTGTGTAGCTGTACGTGTTGCCTAAACGTCATGACGCTTAAGCTATCATGGTTTGGCTCCGATGTGATGAAACACCCGTTGAGATGAGATTAATGGAGGTCTAAACTGTATGTTATATATTATAGCTGGAAGGAAACTGGCGAAACGAGAGTGCAAATGTGCTTAGTGTGTCTGGATGCATCTGTGTTGATCATAATTCCCTTGGTACTTTTGATGTAAGCTTCATCCAAGAAATTATATATGCAAATTTGTTGAATTTCAAAAATGAAAGAAATCAAAAAGAAAATCGCTGATTAGTGAAGTATATTATACCTAACAGGTGATAAAATAAGCCAATATAAAAAGAAGTATTGCTTTAATAATGTGGATAAATATTGAAACAATATTGTCAAAATTGATTGGGACAATATACAAACTGCAATCAATATTGAATTGTAATGCTGAGCCAATAAAGAAAGGCCACATTGGTTCGATATTGCAAATCAATACTGTACCAATGTTTCCAAATGTCCACATTTTTTCTTGCAATAATATTGGAAAATTAGCTTAGGCCAATGTATCCGTAATATGGTTTCGATATTAGGACAATATATATGTGCTGCTTGGGGTGTCAGGTGACATAAGGCTCAAATAATCACCTGCTGGGGCAAGACTGCCGCCTGGCCAATAGTTCTTCAGTACCAAAGATATGTAGTAGTGAAGCATCTCCTCTGAAAACCACCAGGAGATTGTCTCGTAGATCTGTCTGTTGATGTTTCGACCATACGTCACTTGCACAAATCCTGGAATAGAAAGAAGCTTTGATCCAACAAACCATCCAATTAGTTTTGAACGGAACAGATGAGCAGATCAAAATTACCCTTCCAACAGAAAATGGAAGTGATTCCGTAACTGGCAGTTCTCCAATCCAACAAATTCCATACTGATTCCGAAACGATTCTGAACTAGTGCTGGCAGTTCTGGTTCTGAGAGAGAACTAAAATTTCAAATTTGTTAACACATGCGTGTTTTCAGAATAAATGTCTTCATGATTCTTTGCTGAGAAGCTGGATTTTATGGCTGTCACTTTGTGACTGTTCTAACTTTTTAATCTTTCCATATATACGTATCAAAGCTAAATCTCAATCTATTATTCTGCCGTTTATTGCACATATTCAAAAAATAGTTAACGATGAAGATTACTTTGGAACAGATTCAAATGAGGATGAAGATTTTTTGACGATTATAGATGGTTCCAGAAATGAACGTTACTTAGTCAAGTGTTGATAATTCTCATTAATTTGTTCCAACCATTTGACTAGTAATATAATTAATCTTATATATTTCTTTCATTTTAAGTCAATTAACAGCCCAGTGTTGTTAACATTCCACTTAATTTCTTTCTTTGCGAATGTAGCAGAGCACGCTTCCTCTAAAATAAAAATGATGAATTCCTCCAGATGTAAAAAACATAAAACTGCGTACTATTTCTTTAAGATACATCACCAAGCTTCTTATCTCTTATCAAATCAGCCATCAAAAGACGTACAGTGTGATAAAAAAAACAATAAATAGTATCAAATTCCAGGTCTACCATTCAGAAACTTGATACTTTTAAATTTTACTTCATGAGGGTAACCATGGAAGTGCAGCAGAGCTCCGTCCTAGGGCCGGTGCTTTGGAACGTGTTCTATGTTAGGGTACTTCGGTTGCAGATGCTACCGAGAATTCGCCTAATAAGGTATGTTAACGACCTGGTGATGATAGTTACTAGTAAAAAGAAAGGTACTCTAGAAAGGCTTTTGGCATATGGAATCATGAGAATTACTATCTGGATGGAAAATGGTTTGAAATTAGCTCCTGAGAAGGCAGAAGCTAACTTCACTGTTAAGACAAAGAAGACTGAACACATAAGTCGTTTCATCCTTGATACTGCTAATGGCATCTGATGGAGGCCAAGGTTATGAAAGGCGTACGATTTTGGCAGGGGTAGCTAACTCGATTATGCTGAATGGTGCCTCTATCTACACAAGGCCTTGAGGAAAAAATATAGGCAGCCAATGCTCAGAAGCAAGGCAAACTAGTGCTGCGCGTGATATGCGCTTACAGAACGGTCTCGTCCAACGAAGATTGCAGATAATTGATGTGGTGTTATACGGTTTTCAAGACATGGTACTCTTCACATAATTTGCAAAGAGCGGCGCAAGCCCAATGAAGCAAGATGTTTCCACCTGTGAGTATTTTGTATTATTATGTTGATACAAAGCTGTCACTTTGATAGGCATTGGTAGACAAATGAGTCAAAAGAGTGTAATAAAACTACACAAAATCGGCAACAAGCAATGCAGTGTAAACATATGGGCTTCGCTCCTTCTAACCTATTCGAATTCGTTAGTCTCGGCCGACGCCCTGCTGGTGGTGGCTGGAATCCCGCCAATGGATTTGTTGCCTGCGGAAAGGCTCTATACGATGCAACGAAAAGGAGACGCTTTTTTGTTAGGAGAGACGGGATGCAACTTGGATTGACAAAGGAGCAGTGCGAATATCTATCGCATCATCTACTCGAATGTAGTATACGGGTTGACTACCAGACAACTGAAATGGACGCTCGATGAGAAGCTCACTAAAAATTTGGCCGCACATGTAAGCGAGCTAGTGAAGCGGATGGTGCTAAACAAGGTGCAGAAGGACAAAAATAGGGGCCAACAGTACGCACTTGCTCGGTTGAACATGCACATATTGCATATAGGTACGAATATTTGTATATGTACGATGGAGAGTAGATGACTAATACCTTTGGTATTAAAACCTAGCACAACGCTACAGACTGTGAAGAAATGCTGCAAGCATTGCCGTCGGGATTTGTGACGTACGAGTGTCCCCAAAAAAAAACTTCAATTATGGTTATATTTACAACAGTAAACCATGCAATTCTCTGTTCAAAAAAAGTAGTTTTGAACTGTACCTATCTTGGGTATGTGCTGATAAATGATACGGAATTTGATTTGAACTGTTTCAGAAATGTTTATTGGAACAAACCGAAATATAAAAGACTAATATGTATGGCACTCTGAATGGTATCCTCGATTGCCAAAGGGTTTTAAAACCTCAATTTCCTGCAGCTTCCTAAAACCCTCAAACTATTTCTGTGCATGGATAAAACTTCCACATCATCAAAATCAAAAAATACTTCAAGTGTTCGAGGGGAGAGTACAAAGTGGTGAAATGTTATCATCATCTAGTAATTTTACTTACCAATAAGTGTTTTTCTGACGTATTTGAAAACTCCGCGCATGTCAAATACTTCTGATAGAAGACTGTATAGAGGCTCAGCAATTGTATCATCAGTTGCCCTTACAGAATGCCCGTTAAATTTTACAAAATCTACCGTGTCTACGCCAGATTCTTTCGGTTCTAAGCATTGGGATATTTCATCTTCTTCACTATCTCTCAGAATAGATAGAGCATCCTTTTGTTGTTCGCCCGTACTAAAAATTGAAGTTGTTTGCAGAGAAATGGATATTTATAAAGAAATGGCGTCAGGTAAGCTGACACAGCTCTTCCACGCGACGACGTCATCAGTTCATAAAGGATTAAGTCCAGCACAAGGTAGACCCTCTGAGAAAAAGTTATGAACATGTACAACAGAAAAATTAAACGTATCAAATCAGTCGAACAGGACCACATAATTAGTCCGTGGACATTCTTTCCCTGCCCTACTGGTAGTACCGTCTATCTAGCAACGTCGCCCCTCCCCCAGACCGGACCGCTACAGTAGTGCAGACGCAGAGACGCGTATCGGAAATATTTCTCTATCATTCTGAGTTTTAAATATACGGAGAAATCTATGACGTATGAAATATGTGCGTATAATTACCAAGGTTGGTAGCGTATAAATATACTAACATCAAAAAATTGAGATATGTATACACTCCCCCACTCCTTACAAACGCCAATTTTTAACCCCAGCCAAAAAATTTCTGAAAACGAAGTTTAAGCGATTTTTTTTTCGTGTTTTTGTCCCTAACTCTGCCGTCACTGGACAGGTTTTCAAAAAGTACAAGCTCTTTCGTCCATATCATAATAGAATTCTTGTATGAGAATTTCAACCCAATCGCAGCAGTACTTCCTAAGTCATAGAAAGACCAAGAATTAGCGGACAGGCAGACTGACAGGCAGACCAACGGAAATGAGTGACATGGTTTTTCGTGATGTACATCTCATATTACACCCAAAAAACATAATGTATCATTTTCTAAATGTTTCGCAATTACAATATATCCTCGACAATTGCGTAGGAAGTAAAAATAATGAATAACAAAAACTCACCTTTTGAATAGTGTGGAAAACGAAAACCTTGATTTTTTAGGACTAGTAGTTGTATGTTTTAAGTGATCTGAGCTCGGGCTCAGAAAAGAATATACAATTTCGCTTTGGTTGAGGCGATCATCTTTAAGTATAAACTGAAAAAAGTTGAAAATAATTACTTATTTTTTTCTATAGCACCAAAATGCTGAAATGGAAATGACTTTCCATCACCTGTAACAATGGTCAGCTGCAGACAGCACTGTTCCATGCTAATTAGCAACTCACCAGTGCGATATAGGTCTTAAGTCGTGGAGCCAGGCGAAACCAGGCGCAAACAATCATTCAAGACATAGTCCTCAAGTAGATGAAAATCTGACGATCGCCACCTACGAATGGTTTGCCAAGCTGATTTTAGTCCTTATCTCACACGATGAAGACAATAGAGAGACCCTTATGTTCGCTAAACCTTAATGCGGGGCTTAGGTCAAAGCCCTCAGCGCAGGACCCCCAAGAAAGAAGCCGTCAATAAAAGTCAAGAACCGACAGTTGGATGAAACGTCCACCACGTGTTTCCGCGACGCGTGCGCGATCGTTCAATTTCGCGAAAAAGGGGAAAAATTGGGGAGGGGGTAACTTGCTCGGCAGCACACACTCTGGGAATGCGCAGCGGCCTGAACCACGCAGCGCCACTCCAGGCCTTCGGGCGGTAGAGGAGGGAGGAGCCAATTGCTCTTCTCCCCACTCCTCAAGGGTTTGACGTTGCCAGGAACAGGTGGTGGAGGGACCGTACAGGGTGACACAGTTGACCATGTTGTTGCGGTGCGACATCTCTGTGCTTAGCGCAGGCTAGAGAACGTAAGGGTCCCTCTACCGTCTTCATCTTGCGCGGTGAGGATGAAAATCAGTTTGACGAACCTTTGGTAAATGGCGACAGTAAGATTTTCACCTACTTGCGCACCAAAATGCTAATCAGACCTTTACTAATTTACCGAGGAGCGTTTCTAATCACTTGGTAATGTAAAACCGTACGTAATCGAATGTAGATTGAGAGATGAAATTTTATTCGGGAATACTGTGATTTTTTGAGGCTACTACATTATTACAGAAGCATGTAATGACACTTGATGACAGCAAAACCAATTTCTAACCTCGTTTTCTGCAACCATTGCATTTATTATAAGAAACGCTGTGGATACGAGGTAGCCTTTTTATCGTGAAAAATAGATATTCTGCCAATCTTGAGCTCTTTCTGATAGCCAAATAAAGTTAACAAAAAACTATGAACTATGGAAATTACAAGTGACAACACTCTCATTCCCAATGTTTTGAGCACGGGAATAAAAGCGCACATTTGACGGCCCAAAATAATCACTTTGTTCTATTTCCGAACGCATGGAACGGGTACGTCAAACAATTACGAACGCTAAAATTATTACAGAGCAGTACAAAGTACACTCTGTAACAACTTACGAACGCAGCCCTGATGTTTTGTACATCACAAAAGCATTTGTCAAAATGAAGTGTGTTATATTCAATATATCTAATTCAACTTACATCTAAGTACTTCTGAATCTGTTGCTTAGCCTTATCCAAAGCAACCTTATCAGTTTTGCCGAACAGAAATTTGAAACTGCTGGACGGTAGTTCCAAACTTCTTAGTTCAACACACAACGGTCTCAGTTTTTTGTGCAACTCCTGGAACTGAGTCAGGCTTCTACAAACTACCCAACCAGTACAAATACTACTTTCTTCTTCTATATTGTCATCCTCTGCCATTTGAACTACTAGAACGAACTGAAGTGGTTCTTTTTCATTTGGAACCTAAAAACATATTTTTATATACCACTGATTAACAAATTCTCCAAGAAGGTCCTATATGTTAATCAATGATAATGATAGAAACTTTTTTGATTGATATTATACCTCTGCACTTTGCACTATAGCCTTCCATTTACCCAAATTTTCTGTCCAAATCTCAGTTCTAGTAAGATGTGCTTCTAACTGTCTCTTTTCACCTTGCAACCATTCTACTTCTTTTTCAAGTTTATTCAGGACTTTTGATTCTGGTCTCATGGAAAACCTAAGAGCTGCTAGTGCCTGCAAAGTAAAAGATATAAAATGGTTGAAAACAGAATACAAATGATAAGAGATATACTTAGAGCTCAAAATAAACAGCCCTTTAAGTCAAGTGCAATAAGTAATACCTGCATTTTATTATTTAGTTTTTCTTCCAACTGGTCCAATTTTCTCCTGGCATAATTTGAGTGATCACCTACATTCAAGGTGCTCTCAGGACTTCCGGCGGAATCCGATGAAGATTGTCTTTCTTCGAAAGATCTTTTTGTCTCGTCAATCATGTCCTCTTCATTCTCCATTGCAATAATCATCTCTTTGTAGTAGTCACTTATCAAGAATGGTTGATAGTACTTATCTTCTATAACTTGGACTACTTGCTTTTGTACTTCATAGAAAACCTCCGGACCTTTGTCACCTGAAATTTGAACTTGATCATCAAAAAAACAGTTTGGAGTAAAAAATACGCCGTCTGTGACACTCCGTTGATCTTAGTTTTTTTACACCGGAGCAGCCACATAGCGAGAAGCCCAAATGCGAAGACACCGCGGCGCGACAGCTATGAGGATCCCAAAGAAACTCTGTTAATCCGATTTTTGAACTGCCTAAGGTTAGTAAATATGGGAAAAGCCTCATCTTGCATATTGTTCCACAATCTCGCCACCCTATGGAAAAAAAGAGCGGATGTATCGTCCAGTTCTTCGACACGGTTAGGATACGAGGCCGAAGTCAGGCGGGTCTGTCTGGCAGGCGCATCGCGAGGAGGCAAAGCCCTGAAGAGCAAAGCCCGTTGGTGTAACCGTAGAAGAGCTAGATCGCCGACGGCTCGCCGGTGCGACAGGGTCCTGAGACTATCTGTTAGAGAAAAGTCATCGATCAGTCGGACAGCCCTCCTCTGAACAGCATCGATCATGAATAATGTGGTCGGGGCGACTCAGTGACGGATTTAGGAGGGCGAGCCCCTGGACGTCTGATACTTGTTTTTGTAATCTAACACCATTGTGTTACTTTCTGACACATCATGGCGACAGAGGCCCTCTTTGACATCATTTGTTTACAGCACAATTCTTACGATTTATACGTATATTCGTATTGTGACTTGTGACAAATCTAAGTCTGAGTAATATATTAGCTATACAGATTGCTCAACTGTAATTTGAAAAAGGTGTAAAGCTTGACTGATTTTGTTCGGGGCTGGTGTTACAGCAAAGCGTTGTTAGATGAACGCCTAAATTAGACATTTATGAGATTTGTTTAGCGGTGTGGCCTGTCCAGAAAATGCGTCGATCGATGCTCAAAGTCAATACCACACATCCCGCATCTCTTCCCACGTGTGTGTCTATTTACGCTACTACACTGAATTCGTCTGAATCACAGAGCTTTTGCACTACATGTGAATATGTACAGTCCTGTATTCCTGTACTTGTTTCGTACGAACAAACATTATCAAAATAATTACGATCAAATAGATATAGTTTTTTCCTGATATAACAGAAGTGCTTGATTGTGTCAGTATTTGCACCAATCACTTGATTTGTTTAATGGGCAGTTCAGAGTGTTAATCCTTAAACTTAGTACACACTAGTAGACCCCGTTGCGTAATTTGTCTATAGGCAGTCTGGAGACGGTCTCAAGATACGATCTAGATATAGACATCCTTCTTTGTCTCGCCCCCCTAGACGAAATCCTAAATCCGCCCTTGGGGCGGCAGCACCCCAAACGAGAAAAGTACTCCTTAGCCCTAAACAAATCCCTAACAGCTGCTGCTATTGATGAGATGTTTAATCTCTGATCAAGTCCTCGGTGATTTGACTCCGACCAGCCAAATTGAACGGGTCTTTGGCAGAACTTGGTCGCCCATCGAAACCGGATGAGCGCTATGACGCCTTTTGTCTGTCAAGATACAGTACAGTGTTTTGGAAGCATTAAACTATACAATATTGTTGCGTCCCCTAGCAGTGAAGCTCTAAATTCCTGTATGTAGAGTGTTGTTATCAGCAAAGTTGTGGATAGAGGAAAGAAGGTCGTTGATATGTAAGAGGAACAGTATCGGAGCCAAGACCGATCCCGAATTGACGTTATGAGATGAAGAGGACAACCCATCAATTACGACGGATATCTTGCGGCCAGAGAGAAAGTTAGCCATCCATCTGCAAAGCTTTTCTGAGAGGCCCTAGGATGGAAGTTTGCATAAGAGGGCAGCATGCCACAGCTGATCGATCGCTTTCGTGATATGAAGCGCAACGCCATGAGCCTCACCATCAGATTGGATAATTAAGCAGTGATGTTCGAGGTAGTTCAGAAGCTCGCGATTTATGCACCTCTCCATCACCTTACTTATAACAGAAAGATGAGCTATAGGACTGTAATTGTAAGGGTTGGTCTTAGATTTCCTTTTTGGGATCGGTTGTACAGGTATATAATTTCCAGTTTTTTGAGAAGATGCCGGATTCTTAAGATATCTAGAAGAGACGTGAAAGAGCTGGAGCAAGCTCCGCTGCGCACCACTTTAATACAACGGCAGGAATTCAGTCCAGACCAGAAGCTTTGTTGATGTCAAGCGACAAGAGCACCCGTCACATGATTTTATACATGAATTTTACTTCCCGCATAGCGTAGGGACCCCTTTGAATAGACGGTACTCGGGCCTTGGGTGGGGGGTGTCTAAGGTGATGTTGGCAGCACATATCTTGTCAAGCACTTCCGCCTTAGCCTTTGAGTCGGTTACAGTCGTTCCATCCAGACGAGGTGGTGGAAGGCTGTTCTGTGAGAAGTTTCTTTCAATCTGCTTGGCCAGCGTCCAGAAAGACCGACTGCCATTGCGCTGCGACATTACCCTTTGCCTAACTTTTATCTCGTGCTGATCTTTGGCATTGGGGACCCCCCTCGTTATATTTGTTCTGGATTTTTCGGAATTTACGAAGCTGGTTTTCGCAGGAAACAAATTTTTGTTCAGATCGCATATATGCAACGATTTTTTTGAAGTTTTCTCAAAACATATTGAATAATAACTACGAATTTTCCCTGAAAAATTTATTATTTTGTCATCTGTTGTTACAAAAGAACAAAACTTGGTATGCTTGGTAGGCTGGATTCAAATATTACCATCAAAAATTCCTACAATGCTTTGGTGCCAAATTTGGTGCACAAAATAAGCCGTCTGGTACCTTTTACAGGTACCAGTGCCAGATTTACCAGTGAAATGAGGTTTCTGTCGAAATCGCATAAATGCAAACGTTTTTGGTAATTTTCCCATAACACGTTTTATAATTGAGAAATACTGCTTTCGTCCGTCTGACCAAAGACAACCAACCATGGACAGATATTTCATGCTTTTTGGCAACTCATCAGCATGTTCTAGACTTGGTCTCTGGGAACGAATGAAAGCAGCAATTATCCTCTAGCCACGATATCCCTACAGTCGAGAGCAGCATGATTATTTGTTCAATGGCGAATAGACCACATCTAGTATACCGCCAGAATCGTCATCCTCTAGCGGTCACAGTGGTGGCCATGAAACCCGAACTGACATCTTTACAGTTCCAACCAATAGCAGCTATACACTCTCACAGTGATTGATTCTGACAATTCTAGATGGCGCTTTGCGTTGTCGTAATTCGACATTTTATAATAACTCTACGATTTATCCATAATTACTATTATTATTCCCGTTACTACAAACGAACGAAATTCCGTAGGTTTGAGTAATTTTTGGTGCTACATTCAAATCTGGCCATCAAAAAATTCTCAAGTACCTTTGAGCCGGGTTTGCTTAAATAAAAATATTACACGCTTTCGTAAAATATTTTGAGGATTTCAATGTGCCTGAAGAAACATTAAAAGCATTTTTCTTACCCAATAAAAATGCCTCCATCCTTTTTTTGGTCGCCTTATCAACCTTTATCTCAGAAGTAGTATTCCTAATAAATGTGTAGAAAATCTCTGCACCAATCTGATGCCAATTTTTCCTGTCTGCTGTACGCAACTCCTCGACAGCCGTCCAAAATCTTATCAAATCTTGACTAGCCAACGTTTGTAGGAATTGTGATAAGTATTTTCTACCAATCACATGTTCTAAGATTGTCTGCAATGGCAAAACCTATAACGTAATAGAAAAATGAGCAAGAAATCATTGTCTATGGATCTATGGCATTGTTTTTAAGTACCAGAATTTGTCTAAAGCTTTTTTATTTCTTACCCTTTTCACGTCATCACCATACTGATACCCAGAATCCCAACCTAAAGCCATAAGTTTTTGTTCACAATGTTTCTTGGTCAAAGTCAACCTATTAATATATTTTTGCAATTTTTTTGCGGCATTAATTTCAGATTTTTGTATGCCTGCGGCAGCTAGAGCACCTTTGTCATTGTCTAGGTCTACACCTTTGGCACGGTTCAAGTTTTGCAAGGTTGTGGCTTGCATCAGTTTTGTTACAATATTATACCTGAGAAAAACGACATCTATAAATAGAAAAATAGTGCAATTTTGAGTTAGTGTGTAAGAGTCTTTTAGAATAGACAAGAAAATTGTGATTGTTGTTATACAGTAGATACAAGCTTTTTGATTAGACCAAAAAGAGTAGTGGTGCCAAGACTGATCCTTGTGGAACAGTAATGTTACAATTTCTTATTTAAGGATTTTTATTCGTTTTCTATACTAACCCTTCAACATCTGATAATAAGTTCTTATCAATGCTTTTTTATTTGCTTATTTTCATAAAATTGCTGAAAAATAGTTTCTGTAAAAATCTTACCTTATAGATCTTAACACTTGAACATCATCGATTTTTTCAATTAATTCTTCAAAATTGTTTGCACTCTCTAATGCTTTTTTGGGCAGTGCCACATTTTGCTGATTAGCTTCAATATAATAGATAACATTTCTGTTGAAAAAGTCTGGATCTGTTATATTATCTATTATCGGCTTGAAAACTGAAACGTTTTTTTTTATCACCAAAAATAAATAGATCATGATTGTGAATATTCCAGTACTGATATATGTTTGACATGTTATATGTCATATTATCAGTGTTATATACAGGGTGGCTCATTCAGGTGTGGACGGAATATTACTCATAAACAAATACATTTTGGAAAAATCTATTTATGGGATGATATACACGAGTATATTTCTAAAATATTGGCCATTATACAGGGTGTCCCAATTTCGACCTACATATCAAAGTTGTGATTTTTCAAGTGGAATGCCTCAAATTTTATTGCATATTCCGATAAACCAATTCAAAAGAAGAAAATTGATATAACATACTATGGGGTTTTGGCAATTAGCTACTGAGATATAAGGTGTTTTGTCTAGAAAACCCCCCCAATTCGGCAACTCCTCAGTCCGCCATTTTGAAATTTGGAGTGCTGAACTTTGTATCAAAAAAAACTTAACACCTCAGCTTTTATCTTATTTGTTACTTTTTCGAATTTTAATTTTTGCTCATACATCCTTAATCCTTTCCTTCATATTTTCCGGGGCAGATGGTGGATATCTATAAACCTCTTGCTTACCGTAGCCCCATAGAAAGAAGTCCATCGGTGTCATATCTGGTGATCTAGGAGGCCAAGATATAGGCCCATCACGACCGATTCAACGATTGTTACTCCAGGTGTCCAAATAGTTACGCACACGATTATGATAATGCGCAGGTGCGCCGTCATGTTGGAAGTACAAATGCATTCGAGTTTGCAGGTTGACATCCTCCAAAAGCCAAAGCAAATGCTCGATCAAAAGATTCAAGTATTCTGTACCTGTTAATCTGTTGTCGAAAACGAAAGGCCCGATAACTTGTCTGCCAATAACTCCTCCCCAAACATTCAAGCTCCATTTATTTTAGAAATCTATTTGCCTAACCCAGTAAGGGTTTTCCGTCGCATAATAGTGCATGTTATGACTGTTGACAACACCTATGCTGTTAAAAGTTGCCTCATCGCTAAAAAGAACCTTATCCAGGAAAGTAGTGTCTTCATTCACTTTATTTAGCATTATTCTACTAAACTCCATTCGAGCTGCGAAATCTTGAGGACGAAGGCGTTGATGATAGGTGATATGGATGGTACCTATGCTTGTGAATAATCCTTTGGACTGAAGTTCTGCATACGAGTATATCAGTTTCTGCTCCAATTTGTCGTGTACTTAAATGGGGATTTTCCTGCAACTTTAATAGAACCTCCAACTGATTCGCCTCATTGGTGACACTTGGATTATTTATACATTTTTTACTATATTCCACCTTGATTCAAAACGTTCTCGTAGTGTGGACAATGTTTCCGGCCTTGGATGTCGCATATTAGGGTACCGTTGCTTATAAATGCGAGATGCTAGGAAACTATTTCTTTGGGCTTCGTCCAAAACGAACAGCATATTCACCATTTCTTCTTTAGAAAAAATCATTTTCAAACACGTTTTTATTATAATGCTCACAAAGCTAATTTTGAGAGTTTGTAACTAATCAAAAATTTATTTGTTTCCAAGGATGATGCGATATTTTAGGTAATTAAGCCGTTCCATAAAAGGCATAGTATCAACAAAAAGCTTATAAAAAATTGAATCCGAACTTGCACAAATATACAGGGTGATGCATTTGATATTTTTGAGAAAAACTACAATCTGCGTTTTTGACCACCTTGTATGAGCAAAAATTAAAATTCGAAAAAGTAACAGATCAGATAAAAGTTAAGGTGTGTAAGTTTTTTTTGATACAAAATTCAGCACTCCAAATTTCAAAGTGGCCGACAGAGGGGTTGCCGAAGTGGGGGGTTTTTCTAGACACAACACCTTATATCTCAGTAGCTAATTACCAAAACCCCATAGTATGTTATATCAATTTACTTCTTTGGAATTGGTTTGTCCAAATATGCAATAAAATTTGAGGCATTCCATCACAAATCACAACTTCGATATGTAGGTCGAAATTGGGACACCCTGTATAATGGCCAATATTTTAGAAATGTGCCCTCAGATGTCATGTATAACATCCCATAAATAGATTTTTTCGTCCACACATGGATAGGCCACCCTATATATATATATATATATATATATATTCAAAATATAGAATATGTACGAATGAATAAGTAGGATGGGTTTTTCTCAGATATGTTATAAATACCTCTGCAGCAGAGGACCTCTCTAATAAGATATTTAGTGGGTGATAATGAATATGTTCTAGGTAGGAAGAACATTATAAGCAATTCACTAAATGTTCTGAGGTACTCCAATTCCTTTTCTGAGGACATCACATGTGGATACAGTTGAAAAACTGGAGGCCTATCTGATTCACCACTGAAAAAGGACAAATTAGCTTCATTAGTATAACTCGTAATTTATTATTCTATTCAATCTTTCTAAATACGTTTCGTTTTTGAATATAGCTCAAAAGCTAAGATAATTATTAATTTTAAGTATAAACTACAAAATACTTACACTGCTGCTTTTGCTTCTCTGATCTTTTCAAAATGATGGGTGATTTTCAAAACAATGTCACATGCCACTAGTTTTGTGTAATCTACCCTAGAAGCTTTTTCATGCATTGCATGAATAGCTCCCCAAAGATCATCTCTATAAAATAAAAAATAAATATATAAAGGTTCTTGATCTAAAATACAAGGATGTCTTCTACAGGGTGATTCAGAAAACCATGATGAATGTTTAATTTCAGTACTCTAAAAAATTATATATATATATAGAGAGAGAGAGAGAAAATGATCATGCTGAAACAGGTGTATGACAAACAGAAAAATAATGGCCAAATTCCGCAAAAACAAAGAATGTGAATTCGAGCAGGAGGATGGGTAACCTGAGCGATACGTATTTCTGCTTGTTCGCTTCATCAGGCCCGAAATGAATGCACATACGCAAATACAAAAGTATATATACACATCCGGATACGATTGTAACCTGAGGAAACGAAGATGGAGAGGAAAAGAGAATGACATATGAAGTCACAAACAAGAGCCAAGCTATACATTGTAGCGTATAATGGGTAGATGACCTCGAATTTTCAAGGCGATACCTAACCACAACCACGCGGCCGGTTATAGCCACTTGCTGTGGCACTTCGAGCCCAAAGGATCTACAAAGAGAAAAGGATCATGCGGAAAAAGGTATATAACAAATAGAAAATTGATGGGCAAATTCCGCAAAAAGAAGAAAAGTGAATTCGAGCAGAAAATAGGATTCTATTTACTACCTGAGGAAGCGAAGATGGAGAGGGACTTTGTGACTTCGTGTGTCATTTTCTTCCCCTCTCCATCTTCGTTTCGTAAGGTTACACCCGTATCCGGATGTATGGGCATGTGTATCTATGTTTGCAGTTGCAGATGTGCATTCATTTTGGGCCTGATGAAGTCAACAGGCAGAAATACGTATCGCTCGAGTTACCTATCCTATTTTCTGCTCGAATTCACTTTCTTTCTATTTGTTTTATTCCTTTTTCCGCATGATCCTTTCGCTTTGTAGATCTTTCGGGTTTGATGTACCACAGCAAATGGCTATAACCGGCCGCGTAGTTGTGGTTAGATGCCGCCTTGAAAATTCGAGATCTTCAAAGCATCTTATACTACAATGTGTAGGTTGGCTCCTGTTTGTGACTTTGTGTGTCATTTTCTTTCCCTCTCCATCTTCGTTTCCTCAGGTTACACCCGTATATGGATGTATGGGCATGTGTATCTTCTTTTGTAGTTGCATATGTGCATTCATTTTGGGCCTGATGAAGCCTACAAGCAGAATTCCATATTGCTCGGGTTACCTATTCTATTTTCTGCTCGAATTCACTTTCCTTCTTTTTGCGAAATTTGCCGATTATTTTTCTATTTGTTTTATACCTTTTTCCGCATGATCCTTTCTCTTTGTAGATCCTTTGGGCTTAAAGTACCACAGCAAGTGGCTATAACGGGCCGCGTAGTTGTGGTTAGATGTCGCCTTGAAAATTCGAGGTCTTCTAGCAATTTTCCTCAGGTTACACCCATATCCAGACATATGGAGATGTGTATCTACTTTTGTAGTTAACCAGCAGAAATATGTATCTGTCAGGTTACCTATCCTATTTTCTGCTCAAATCCACTTTCCTTCTTTTTGCAGATTTTGCCCATTAATTCCTATTTTTTATTATATACCTTTCTCAGCATGATAATTTTCTCTTTGCAGATCCGTTGGGCTTGAAGTACCACAGCAAGTACTTGTACTTTCTGCACTAGGAACATTATCATTGTTTTCTAAATCACTTTATATAATTCAAACATTCCTTACTTGATGTTGGTGCTCAAAGCATCTAGATCATATGCATAATCTTTCAGGTAAGTTAAAATGTAATCTCTGACAACAAAATCCAATAATTGTTGCAACAAACTATCTACAGTTTTTCCAAAAATCTGAGGGTAGAGAGGAAATGTGTCTTTATTTGTAGATGTAGGATCGTATTCTCTCTAAAAATAAAAAATATCACTTTTCAAACCAGAATTGTAGCTTATACCACATAGAAATATAAAAATAATGGAGTACCTAGTCTGGGAAACTGCCAAAAATAACCTGGATGAAGACGAAAAAGAATCTGGTACTCTGTGGAGACTAGAGATTTTAAAAAACTGACTGTGTAAAATAAACTACTATAAACTATTATTAATAGAAATCAGTGTTCCAACAAATAACTTTAAAAACGTTACCATCAGCTTGTTCCTGAAATACTCAGCCTGCTTTAAAGTATTTTCTGCTCCAATTATGGTCTTGTGCATCAAAGAAAGATGTATGTTGAGCCATACAGCGGTAAAAATCCCCAATAAAATACTTATTATAAGCAACAGTATGTAAAAAGAGCATGATACACATATTGGAATGTATAGTACAGCTAGGGCGACGAATACTGATACAAGAGCGGAAATATAAAATACTTTACTCATTCTTGAATGATTCTGAAAGAATAATATATTGTTATCTATATTACAAAATGGGTATTGTACACTCCTACCTTATTCATCAATCAATATTTTAAAATTTTGGCTGATAGTTCCATCAAAATCGTATAATCATTTTATCTATATGCTGACTCTAGTTAGCCTAGGCAACATGCTTGTTATCCAACGTCTTCAATTTTTGTTTCTGTTTTGTTATGGATAAATTCAAAAATCAACAACCATAATCAGAAGTAAACATATGACATCTACTTGTCAGTTTCACCTGTCACCACTTGTCACTGTTTTCTGTCTTGCTTTAATATTTGTGATTTTCCGTACAACTATCTTTTTTTGTCTATCAGTAAAATGTGGTTACGCCTATGCAACATAGATGGCGAAATCTATCTCTGGACGTTGCCAAGCTGATACATTTATCTAGAACTACAGACTACTGACGTTTGGATATCGTTGGTTTACCAAACAGATGATAAGTTAAAAATCGGAAAGATAAAAATACAGTCTGAATAGAATAATTCGAAAAATGAACAATAATAAAATTACAATCGTTTACTCGCAACTGTGGTCACTGCGCCGATTTTCAAAAATACAATTAACCCCATAGCATAGCAAGTCTGAAATTCTGATATCGTTAAGGCCCGTATCGTCAGTCGTCCCTACAATTGTAGGGCGCGTGTATGGCCTCCTTGATTGTCATAGTTTTCTACTTCTCCGTGTCAGCGCTCTATTTTGAGGTTATGCCACAAACATCTATTTGCATCAAATTGTGCTTGCTTTTGATTTTTATCATGTTTTATCAGCCTGAAATTTCCTACAATTTAAAAGAAAAACATACCTTAACAATAGGAGAGCGCTGACGCTGACACGGGACGAGTGTAATCTAGAAATTTTTGAAGGAGAGAAAAGAGTATGACAATCAAGGAGGCCATAAACGTGGCCTCCTTGATTGTCATAGTTTTCTACTTCTCCGTGTCAGAACTCTATTTTGAGGTTATGTCACAAACATCTATTTGCAGCAAATTATGCTTGTTTTTGAGTTATATCATGTTTTATCAGCCTGAAATTTCCTACAATTTAAAAAGAACACATATCTTCCCAATAGGAGAGCGCTGACGCTGACACGGGACAAGTGTAATCTAGAAATTTTTGAAGGAGAGAAAGCAGTATGACAATCAAGGAGGCCATAAACGCGCCCTACAATTGTAGGGACGACTGACGATACGGGCCTAAGATTGGTGCAGCGGTTACTGAAAGTGCTCAGTTGTAAGGGAGATTCCACACTGACAGAAATATCGACGATAGTCATTAATATATTTGATAATATATTTTTCGAATTAGGTATACATTACAAAATTTGCAGTTGCACAAAAATCATTGCAAAATCATATCGACAATATAAGTATAGAATAACATTTTAACGTTCCTTCGCATATTTTTATGTTAATACATATATATACAGGGTGGCCCATCCATGTGTGGGCGGAATATCACTCATAAACAACTACATTTTGGAAACATCTATTTATGGGATGTTATACATGACATTTGAGGGCACATTTCTGAAATATTGGCAATTATACAGGGTGTTTCAATTTTGACCTACTTATTAGAGCTGTGATTTTTTAAATAGAATGCCTCAAATTTTATTGCATATTTGGATAAACCAATTCCAACGAAGAAAATTGATATGACATACTAGGGGGTTTTGGTAATTAGCTACTGAGATATAAGGTGTTTTGTCTAGAAAACCCCCCCAATTCGGCAACCCCTCAGTGGAATGCTGAATTTTGTTTAAAAAAAATACACACTTCAACTTTTATCTTATTTGTTACTTTTTCGAATTTTAATTTTTGCTCAAAAACGCGAATTGTAGTTTTTCTCAAAAATTTCAGATGCATCACCCTGTATATTTGTGCAAGTTTGGATTCAATTTTTTTATAAGCTTTTTTGATACTAGACACATAAGGGTTTTAAAAACCGCTTGTCCACAAATTTGATCAAAATCGGTGCAGCATTTACTGAGAATATGCGCTAACATTGACAATAAATAATTAGTCGTGGCATAGTCTGACAACAGCGCGTCCCAGGTTTCATCCGACTAGCCGATAGAGGCCGTGTTGGTGCGATTTCACCAGTCGCTGATGAGAAAGAGAGGTGTACACATAGTACAGGCGCAAACGCTACTCGCAGAAGAGATTTCTTCGCATGACCGTCCGAACTCCATTTTATTCCGATTTTTAACTGTGCTGGCCAGTTGTGAACATCGCCAAATCCCTCTGTGTTATGACTGTCTCCTTCGTATCAACTTCGAAACGTCGTATCCTGGTATCTAGATCTAAGATGCCTTGTCGTGGTGTGAAGTGTATTGTACTGTTGTAGTTGTCATGAGGTCGATGTGACATTCCGCTGTTCTGCTGTTTCCACAGGCTGCTAGATCGGATTACCATCAATGATGTCCGGCAGACACATCCCAGCGGACAAGGTACGATTTTCAGTTATTTTTGGAATCTGTCACTTTATCAACCGCACCCTGCGATCGAGTGTTTTGTCACGCAGCGTGTACACTCTCCGTGTGTATTTTATCTTGCACCGACCTAGTTTTCGTCCTAGCATTGGTCTTGATGATATTTTCAGCTTAAATGGGCTAGGATTTCACGCTACGACCGTATTTTTGTAACCAGTCTTCTCTACTCTGTACTCTCTTACGTCAAAACATTCCTTGTTCATTCAGGTAGTGAGAGACAGGTATAAAGGATCTGGGACAAAAACAGAGATAGGCATAGACAGCTTTTTAAAAAAAATTCTCAGGGCTCGAATCAATTACCGATGACCGCTGTGATGCAGTGAGGTGTTACAAAATATAAGAACACTTTTCTGGAATGACTGTCATTGTCTATCGTTTCTGGGGTGAATTGATTAACTATGAAAACAAAACAATTTCTTGACTATGTTTTGTGGTGGGATTGATGCCTGTGAAGGATTAACAAATGTGTTTGGGAAACGTTATGTTGAACAAAAAATAAAGATTCTTATAATTACGTCATTTTCTCGGATGTTATAATATTGACCCTAGAGTGATCCATACAGTGTATAAAGGGTGGGATTATATATATATATTTCATAAAGGCTTGATTATTCTTTGCATGGTGTTGAAAAACTCAAAAATAAGCACAAAACACGACGAAAAAAAAAACAGAAGATATTGCACAAAATTCGTAAAAACGTCTCATAAAACCATTACTATAGGAGAACTGTAATTTGTTTTGACCTAATAGGTGTCAAAGTCTTTGGCAAAGTTTTTTTTCTACTAGGTACTCCTAAGTGCTAAAGGCAATATCGAAATAAAAATGCTTAAAACAAGGGAAATTGTATTATTTTTACTATATTCTTGCTCAATTTATTTTTATTTAATATACTTTGATAATGATGTACTCTTCCTTGTTCCATTTTATCATTTGTTTATTTGGATTTATTTGTATACAATTAATAATTGTTGAACATTTGAAATTCAAATGGTTAAACATATTGACAATATGGAGTGAAAGTCTAAAACATATCATGAAATCTGTATATACAGAAATTGTTTATAAAAATATAGTTACAAATTATAATCTTCATATTTTAGAAGTACGATTCGAATTCCAAATGAAAATATCGTATCTTAATCAGCTGTTATTTTTTGTTCCAATGCAATAAGCTGTATCCCTCAGCATCCACTTGCTCACTGAACCTGAACCTGATTGTGTTGGTTGCTAGACAGTGCTCTCTTTATTTCACCAAATAGTGACTTCTAGGCCCACATATAAAGGATGTGCTTCATTCATTTTTATTATTCATCAGTGGTATTCTAGCTTTTTTGAAAAGCTGCATACCCCTTTCTAAATATTTTTGCACTAAGGGTGAAACTACCCATTTTGAGGCGGTCTGTTGCTAAAATTAGCTATAAATACGATGCAATCATTAAAAAGTCAGTAGTTGGTCCAAAAAAATGGCTGCTAACTTCATGCCTCGAAGATCTGGCTTCTAACTTCACACCGGTCCTAGGTACTTGGTTAAGGTAATATCATCGTCGTTAATGGATAATCATAGGTACCAGTTGTACAGCGTCCGTCAGAAAGAACGAATGTTTTTTAAATGAGTAGTACAGTCAAAATAAGTATGGGAAAAATATTTTATTATATGAAAATACTCGGAAATACATGCCATTTTTTTGAGTAAAACAAAATTTACGTTCTAAAAACTATATCGACGATATGGCGCCCTTGAGGCGAAATGCAGGAATCAAGCCTCTCCCAAAATGAGCCCTTTCTTTTCTTATTTCCTCCTTCGAATCCACGAGGGTCCGAGGCTTGCTTTGGTAAACTTTTGATTCAGGTAGCCCCCTAAAAAAAAAATCACACGTTGACAGGTCCGGGGAGCGAGGGAGGCCATGGAATATCGCCATGACGTGAAATGAGACGTCCTGGGAATTTTTGCCAAAGAAGTTCCATCGAACTGCGAGCTGTGTGAGATGTTGCCCCATCTTGTTGGAACCACACTGTTCTGAGATGCTCACGTCGACGTCGAAGTTCCGGAAAAAAAAGTTGTTTAGCATGTGGATGTAACACTCAGTAGTTGTTTCTCCATCATCCTCAAAAAAAGGGCCAATAATCATCGTTGGGCCTACTGCACACCAAACTGTAACTTTTGGGGTATGCAGGGGATGCTTATGCAACTGTTGGAGCTTCACTGGAGACCAATATCGACAATTTTGTTTATTGACGTATTCATGTTTAAATGAAAATGTGCGCTTCATTACTCAGAAACAACGTCATGTCATTGTTATCTAACTGTTCAATCATGAGGTGTGCAAGATCAACACATTGTGCATAATTCCGTCTCAACAGTTGTTGACAAACTTGGATTTTGTAAGTACTATATACTTCTTCAAGATGCGACGTACAGAGGTCGCGTGGATCCCTATACGGTTTCGCCCTGGCGGTTTTTTCTTCGTCACATTACCTGTTGTGTTGAACGCTTCCACCCATCTCAAAGTGGTGTTACTGTCTGGTACTGTCCCACGTGGAACACGAAAGTGAACGCAAAACTCACGTTGCGTTCGAACGACATACTCGCCATTTTGAAAGTACCGACGTACAGTGAACACCCGATGCTCAACATTCCAAACCATCTTACCAACTGAAACGGCACTTCTCCCACTATCCAACACGCCCTTCCCCACCGACACGGGACCAGCCCACTCGGACCCTGTATTTTGAGCAGCCTGAAACATGAAAAGGAAATACGACACTTGTGTTGTTTTTCTTTTGTCATTTTC